TCTCCCAAAATGAAGTAAAATATAACTATCGGTCAAATTGTGAGTATGGTTAGTTGCAATTGTCGTATATGCAATACATTTTACGTCATTTCTCATCAAGAAATAATTCATTGTAGTAAAAAATAAGGAAGTGTGATACATAAATGAAGTGATTTGTGATTATCAGTTAACTGATAAGGCATCCATTTATCAAACTTTCTTATCCTTCCAACATGCTTCAAATGCTAAAATTCAATAAAAATTGCTGACCATTGAGTTTTTTAACAATTCCTTGTAGAGTTCCTATGATGATCTAACTAATATCAATGGCTACTTTCAATTGGTCATTGTTAATCGTTAATCACTATGCTCTTCATCTTCAAGACTGTTTCTATTTCGCAAAACTCTTGCATCTTCATCATGCTCTTCGATAAAATGGCTACTTACTCAAATAGTCTATTTAATGATTCATATATCTGACCTCAATATCTCAATCTAAAATAGACATGAAATAATCAGCAAGTAATAAAATTACTGGCTAAAAAAAAAACGCTAGATAGATTGATAGCTATATTTATTTATGAATAAATCTCATCAAGTATTGATCACATTTTGTAGTTTTCTTTTGCGCCAATTATACATTACATATATGTATGTTTGTAATTTAATACAAAAAAGAGCAAGAAAAAATTTTTATAGTTAAAAAATTTAATTTTAACCAAATTTCAATTTTTAATCATTTCCATATATTTCAATTAGCATATTATGCATGCAAAGCTAAATAATGAGTAAAATTGTTTATTTCAATATGAATGATTATCGATAATGATCAAACATCGATCGCATTTATATTCGATAAAAATGACTTTACTAAATGACAGGAAAAGTTATTTATTTTATATTGGAATAATTCAGTGATGTTTAACAATGTCACCCTTTCATTTCTTTTTTTGTCATTTGCAACATTTCTCTTATGTAATTGACCTTTTCAAGGGACAACTCTTCCTGTCTAATTGTAAATAACAATGAAAAAAAGAAAATGGAGATACTGTGATTAAAAAGTGCAAAAAGTATGATAGAATGCAAAAAAAAAAGAAAATAATTGTTATTTAAAGTTTTCTAGTGGTCCTCAACCTTTTTCATGATCTTTTCATGACTTTTCTTGACCAAAGATCAATTCGGCTTTTTTTTTCTTGTTGTATCAGGGATTATAAGGTTTTTTGAAAAAGAAAAAAAAGCGATAAACTCTATTAACTTGCAAAAAAAAGAGAAAAAGTAAACATTTGATGTATTAGTTGTTGTTAACGTCTTACAACATAAAAAAAGTAGGGATATAATTTTTTCATAGGGGGACCCCGCGGACCATATTTATTATTTCTCGCAAATTTGTCGGTTGGGAATAACTAATTAGAATTTTCCATCCTAATATTTTGCTAATTAATGCAACACAATATTTCATCATTTGACAATAACATGAAGAAATGAAATTATGGAGAGAAAAAAAAAGGGACATTCGATTTTTAATTAATTTTTTTTTAATGTTTATAATTTTTTAAGTTATAACAAAATGAGAGAAAAAAAATTGACTTTTTTTAATTGAATTGTCGCATTTCTCAAATTATTTGCAATATTTAGAAGTATTGAAACAATAAATTTCATGATGGTAAAATAGGCAAAACATTACAACAAATAAACATTTTTTTTTTTTTTTATTATTTCTCAACATTGAATTTTTTTATTTTCAATTTTAATCTTTTCTTTTTTTGGCAATGAATGATTAATTAACTGTTTTGTGTACAATACAATAAAAGAAATTTTACAGAGTGGTTAATTTACAAAATGTTTAAAGTCGATTTTTACCAGTTCCATTAATCTTTATTTAACCACGAGGTTGATCGTATTGTAGTCCATTTATTTTGCTTGCAATATCTTCAATTTTAAATGTTTCCAAGCTTGGCATACCATCATTTTCTGGTTGCTAAAATGAAAAGGAATTATTTTAGGCTTTTTTAAATTCAAAACATAAGAAAAGTTTGAAAAGATAAGTTATTCGAAAGATAAGTTATAACTAAGAATAAATGATCGAAGTAAATTATCAGTCTGTTATAATCAATCTCTTTTGTTCTTATATCCTCTTATTGATAAAAAATAGGTATATTTCATTTCTTATCATTTTCTTTTTTAAATATTAAACTTTTCTTTCTTTACAAGCGTACCTTTCTCTTTATCATCTTTTTCACTCTATTCCATCCCTTCAATCATCTTAATTTTTCACACAATTATTGAATTTAATTTAAGTAATTTAATAGTCACTTACAAATTAAACTGAAATTTATGTGTAAGTTGAGAAATTTATTTTGAAAAAAAAAATGAATTAATGAAACGAAAGTGTAAAAATAAAACCCTGCAAATAACTCCAATTGCACCACCATCAACTTGTTGATTCCAGATTGTATAAGTACCAGGATTTAGGAATAATGTATTGTATCCTTTGTGAACAAAAATACATCCTAATGTTTTCACTACTGCTTTACCATTTTCAAGAACACACATCTGCTCCACTTTTGATTTTTTCGTTTGTTGATACCTATTTGTTGAATGAATTTTTTTTTAATAAATTACAAAAAAAACATAAGAATAAAATATTATTTCAAAATTAATTTTATCATCATATAATAGCAGGTACTATTCAAATTATTTGATAATAGCTGGTTACATTTATGATTCGTTTGATAAAGATCGGTCATCTGAAAGTAAATGATAATCATTATATATTTCAAATATCATTTTTTTTTCAAATATAACATTAATTTCGCTCTTTTTTAAAATTTTGCAATAAAATTTTTAAATTTTTTTAAAATTTTAGATCAAAAATTTTTTTAATTTTGAAATTAAAATTTTTTCAAATTTTGGAATCATAATTTTATCAGTAGTATTTTTAATTTTCACTTGTACTTTTTTTCCTAAAAATGACTTTTTAAAAATCGTTTTCATGTCCTTTTTTTCTTTTTCCAAATAAAATTGCAATTTCATGTGGGAGAAGTTATTTTAATCAGTAGGAACTATTGTAGCAAAAGTAGGAATTACTGTAAAAAAATAAACTTTCTTGCAAATCAACTGATAAATGGTTTCATTTGATATTTGTATTTCTTTTGAATGACATAACTTTGAATGAATTATCCAGCAAAAGTTAAACTTACCATTTACATCCAACGACTCTCTCAACAGTTTCACCATTTTTATCACGTACCACACAACCAACCGGTTTATGCCCATATTTATCCGGTCGTACTTCACACATAAACACCGTATCATCTTTATGATAACGATCACCATCATACAGTAATTTATTTTTGAAATGACATCCAACACAAATCTTCTGACTGCGACCATTTTCTATTTTACAGTAATAGATGAAATCACCATCCTAAAATTTATTAATTTTCCAAAATAAAATTTTGAAAAAAAAATATCACTTTATGATGTAACTAAATTGATAGAAAATTTCATCAAACTCTTGGCACCTTCTCCGTTTAAATTTTTTAAATTTCATTTTTTTAATTTCCGATCGTAGAATTCATTTCACGATGTTGTTAAGAAATTTTTTTCTTCTCTGCTAAAGTAAAAAAAGAAAAAAGAATATGCAAAACAAAAAACAAAAACAAACAAGTTAAACCAAAGACAGCTCGATCATATTTTTGTGTTTTAAATTTAAAATTCAATTTCTTTTATAAAATCATTTCCATAAATATAATTCATAATTTATTGAATTTATTAACTTTCTTCTTTTAACTGTTTATGCTCCTAAGAGTTACTAAATTCATTCTCTCTATTTAATCATTAAATGTATGAGAAGTAATTATTGTTTTGTCAATCTATTCAGTTTTCTGTGTCATCTTTTGACAGCATCAATTTGAAATTTACTATATACAATGAACATTTTTATTAGACCCAATTGAAATTTCGAAAATAATTACAATTACTTTTAAACAGTCTGCAAAAGGTCCTTTTTCTTTTTTTTTTTGTGACTGAACTTTATCACATTAATGAATTTGTTCCGGAACAATCAATCTTGAAGACATTTTGTTTTCTTCTAGTAGAAAAGTTGAAAAAATTTTAGAATTAAGTAATCAAGATTACTTTAGACAAAAAAAAAAGTCGAAAAATTTACTTATAACTGGAAATTTTAATTGTTTTCTGCACTAATAGTGAACTTTTCAGTTGATTTATTACAGTACGAAATATCATTTTGTACCAAAAATCAATAAATTGAAAAAATAATAAACAATTATTTGAAATTTAATTCAAAATAATTCATTGAAATAATTTATGATATTAATATTTTAGCAATAAACTGATGATTAAACGTACGCACGTGAAGCATAAAAAAAGTAAAAACGTGGAAATAGTTATTACTATTAAATCATACTGTTTGTAAATGAATAAATTTTCTTTTTTGGAACAAATATACTTTCTCCTTTTTTTGTTCACATTTGACAATTTCTCTTTTAAAATTTTCCCTCCAAAATATGTAATTAATCGATTGTAATGTGATCTATAAGTAATACTTCCAATTGTTGCCTTATCTAACCCATATCATCTAATCATTTGTCTCAATAAATTGTGTCATTTTCAACTCTTCTTTGTCACCAAAATGGAACTTTTTTTTTCCTTTGTCACCCGCAAATTCACATCTTCACCATTAAAATATTTCTTACTTATTTTAGGATTTCCAAAGTATTGCTACTGCAGTTTACTAATTTACGTGCAAAAATTATGAACATCAATCGAAAATAAAGTTATAAAAATGTTGAATTTGAAATCTATTACCGGATTAAACAAGTAATACCGGTTCTTCCGGTAATGAAATTTATCAGGTTGAAAGAAGTGAATTTATCGCTTCATTATATTTTATGACTATTTTAGGACAAATTTTTTTTTCCTTTTTATTTCTCAAGTTTTATTTATTGGCATTCAAAAATAAAATGCTGAATAAAAATGCAAAAATACCTTAAGTTAATAAATTTGATTTTTAATTTCATCACAATTCTCATAAACAATATGGGAATATTGATTAAATTTTAATCTCTCATTTGTTAAATTTTAAGAAAATTGTTACAAATATTAATTTCACTGCTATGAATTACTCAAACAAACAATTGATTGAAGTATAAATGTTTGAAATCATAAATGACGTGTCGGTTACAGTTCAATACACGCAGCCACTTAGAAAACGGATAATGAAATCATAAGTGACGTGCCAGTTACGTGTTCGATGACGTAACCACGTAACCACTTAGGAAACAAATAGCGAAATCACAAATAACATGTCGATTACAGTTCAATCACGCAAATATTTGAAAAATGAATAACATTTATCGATAAATAGTGATGATAATATTAATTTATGATAATACTAATTTCATAAGAAATTAAATTAAAAAAAAAAGAAAATATGGTTTAAGATGAAAGGCATTAAAGGAAAATGAATAAAATATAATTTTTTTTTTTGCTTCCAGTGAAATGCCTTTTTACTTTTTATTTTAACTTAAGTTAATTTTTACGTATATACGTATTTCACGTATATTTTTACATATATACGTATTTTACGTATATTTTACGTATATACGTATATATTACGTATATACGTATTTTACGTATATACATAAATACATGTAGAAGCACAAACATGCATGCATGCATAAGCATATGCAAAAAAAAAATCACATACAAGTAGATTTGTATGCAACTTATAGTTAAGCATATTATTTCTCCAAACGTATTTATCAACAAGGATGATAGGAATGCTAACAACAAAACAATTTTCACAAATTATTTTGATGTAAAAATTTTGAATTTTATAGATAAAACGTAGAGAATTAAAAAAAAAAAAAACGAAACATGTTTAAATAGTCGTTAAGTGAATGGATACGGTAAATTCATTTTAAGGTACCCAACTTCTGATGATCATTGAATCATAGATTTCGATCATTGAAAAATTGATCCGGTATTATATTCGCTGTATACTATCAAACTTTAAATTCAATTTCAAACATAATTCAAAATTTAATTGGCACATACAAATTTCGATGATTAATTAACTTCCAGTACTATTATTTCAAGAAAAGAAAAAAAAAACTTTTTCTATTGATCCGGAAATATCTTATTGATAAAAACGCTTATTGGTTCGTATATATTTGTAATTTTTATCTATCGTAAATAGATAATGAATTTTATGGATCAAATAAGAGAGCTAATAAAGAGCGCTTGATCAGTATGAGCAAACAAATGCGCCAATTCTTGTAATCGCTAAATCAACCTTTGAAGGATGTACATAAAAACCTTATAGATAACAAGCGGACATTCTTCCTCTCTCTTTTATTCTCCAGATTAGTAGTTTGGAAATTTATATTGTAGTGATATTTTGGAGCATAGTTTACGTATTTATAATTCATCATTATACAAGGCAAATTTGTTACCTTTATCTAATAGTTTAATTATCTAAGCTTGAGTT